CCCCAAAACCCCAAAACCCCAAAACCCCAAAACCCCTTTCGAAGTATGGTCATAGAATTATATAATATTTAATTTTCATTAATCTCACAAAAACACAAATATGCTTCTTTCATTTAGAAATGCCTTACCAAAACATTCACGGTCTTACAATGTCTGCATGAGTCACTTTGTAAGCATTTCTTCATACTTTTAGGGCAAACATAAATTTTTCTGTACCATTCCCAATCAAGCTGAAGAGTCTCAAGAAGCCTTTTTGACAAAAATTAAGGAGAACACTGAGCTGAGTGCCGATCAGCAACAGGAAATCATTGATATGTATGACAAAATTGATATCCACGAATTGCAAACCCACAACCCTAAGCTTTACGAGTACTTGCACTTCGACCCGACCAAAATTCAGGATTTCAGGCAAGTTATTTACGAAGGACAGGGAGACAGAGACCAGTTTGCCATCGAGGCCAGTCAGAGCAGAAGCGAGCTAGGCGATGCAGCTGAGGCTGCTACAGCTGCAAGCACTGCTGCTCCTGGCCAAGCTAAAGTCTTTACACTTCCTCTGTTCTGGAAATGGCTGACTCCTGTGTTTGGAGTGACATCTGTGTGGCTTCTCAACATTCAAGCAGCCACTCACATTCCATGGTTACCATTCTTGGTGATCTGTGGTGTAAGCGTGAGGCTCCTGCTGGCTCCAATGATGATCAGACAAATGACTCTGATCAACAAAATGGGAGTTGCCTCACCAGACATGAGAATTGTAGGCAAGATCTTCAAGCATGTTGACAAAAATTTGTTACAAAAGTTTGCATGGGCCTTCAAAGCTGTATATGAGCTAGCCAAAACTACCGGAACAAGTCTGACCAAATTCTATTTCTACAATCTAATCCAGTTGCCTGTATTCGTGATCATGATATTTTCAATCAGAAAGATATGTTTTGAGCATGAAGAGTTAGCTGGAAAAGGAATATTGTGGTTCAAAGACTTGAACGAGCCAGACCCATATCTCATTCTACCTCTCATTGCAACTGTGCTTAACTATGTCAATCTCGGAAGAGGAATCACTAAAGAGAATGAACACTGGTTCATCAACAGGTTCCGAAGCTTCTTTCAGGTTCTTCAGTTTATGCATTTGCCGTTTACTCACAAGTGGCCCTCAGGCTCATTCGTGTACTGGATTACTTCATCATTAATGGTATTCTTGCAAGTGTCGATAACGAGGCATCCCAAAATAATGAATATGATCAATCCTTCATTCTTCTACAACTATACTAAAATGTATGGAGAAAGGTCTACCAAGTCTCACGAAAACTACGTTGAAAGGCTTCTGCACAGCGAAGACACCAAACTCAAGAGCTACACCAAAGACAACTTTGTTCTCGAAGACCTTGAGTACGAGATGAAACAATTCTTGCAGTTCCAAAGAACGAGGAAGCTGAAGATTAAGAAAGAAGAAATTCTGAACAGAGATGGGACTGAAGCCAGCTAAACATATCTGAAGTAACAAGCATAATATGTTGATAAGCATAATTTAAATATTTATGAAATCCAATAAAGATCTTGTACCTTGGGGTTTTGGGGTTTTGGGGTTTTGGGGTTTTGGGG